ATTATCATAGAACATGATGTCCTGCTCTGAAGTTGTCAGTCACATGAGGGACGAAAGCTCGGCAAGGAATCATCGGGGTCGCAGGGCAATGCGCCGAGAACCTTTTTGCACAATGTCCCTACAGCATCCGGTGAGGCCAACTTATGAGTCGTCTACTCACCTCTCTCAAATAAAGTAAGGCATTCCAATATCAATTATTTTGGGATTGAGTGTATATGTTAACACATGAGTGTGTATGCTCAAGTCAGGTAACGATCTTACCATTTAAAACTTTGAGCAATTACAACAAAATGTCAAGGCTAGTTCATTGTCATCACAGTTGATTTGCCCAATAAAAAGCATATATGATATTGTGTATGTAGATTAACACCTCTCTCTTTTTAAGCTTTTCATTCAATCCTATTCTCTCCTACTCAAAGTCATCGGAACGCAGTGACTCTTCCTAGGTTGGAATAAACGGAACAGCCAACATCCTTGATAGAGAAACTTAGTATAGAAAATTGATTGGCAACCACCCCTACGCTTTGCGAATCCCTCTACCCTTCGCTTGTGCCGTGTGATCTACTCTTTCCTTTTTTCATGCCGATTTTATCCCCATATTTTAAGCTGCTTGGCAAAGCATCTGACCACATTCAAGCCGAAGCACAGGCTCCCACGATTGGGAAATAGGACGTCTGAGATATATGCAGACTGAAGGTCCTGGGTTGGGATCCCACTAGTAGCGCTAAAGAGGTCTAGCCGCATCGGATAGACAGTCGATACTAGCTTATTGTACATTTTTGCAATTTCTGACACAGGAAAATTCCTTGGAAAAAATCACTTTTCTCTCCAACTCATCGTAGGCAAGCCAAATAGAAAGTGCCTAAATTGGCTGATGAACAATGTTAAAATGTCAAACTATAATGGCATTTGCGAATTGTCATGGCCTCACTACTAGTGCAAAGAACATACATGACTTACAAGATTGGCATTGTGCACTATTTACTGATTAGTCTGCTCGTCTTCCCTAAAAACATACATGATAAAATCTAGAATATCTTTCATTCTGCCCTGAATAATAGGTTTATTTTGATATATTTCGTATTTTACTAAACACTAGGCTGAAAATCAGGCTATTTATACCCTATACCTTACTTTATTCTTTCCACTTAAACGCATTTTATTATGTGGAGCCATTTTTATTGTCTGGGCGGATTTTCACTGAGCTTAACAGTTTTTGGTGAACCTTTTCTCGGTCGTGGTTGTCCTGCGTGTGACTATCAGCAGTTATGTGAAACTTTCCATGGTGCCAGCTATTTACTTTTCCAGCGCAGTGAATTCATCAATTGTTGTACTAATTGAAAGATAGCTCGGGTT